CCCCTTAAAATCAACAAACCAATCTCCCTCAAACCCAGTTTTCTCTGTTGAGAGGGAAAGAAATGTTGTTGGAAACAGATCTGTCCCCCTTTCCCCTTCTTTTGGCTCTTATTGGGCGAAATGGTGCGTTCTATAGTGAACGGGAAATACATTAGAGTGCACGAACTAGGATATTTTGAAAGGCTACAAGGCTATGGCGTAACTATGATAAACCACAGAGAATCATACAGATCTCAAAGTAGCGATTATCATCACATCTATTGCACTTATTAGATCTTTTTACCGAGTTCTCTCACTGTTGATCTCGATGTTCATTAAATGCTCCTAAACGATATCTAGAAAGTGAAACATGTTTAATTTGGGAGAATTTCATCAAATGTCGCCAAAATGGTAGCTTTTGCAATTCCACGAAGGAACATCTGGACACCCTGAAATGTATCAAACCATATGAAATAGGAATTTGAAGAAACTTTTTGCAGTGTTCTTTGAGAACTAGATCCATATGCAGGTGTAACTGCCTCTCACCGACTTCTGACCAGTTTCCGTAAAGTAGTTGTTGGGACCTTTGCCGAAGCATGCAGAATACATCAGTTCCATGCCGGCGGGAAGAGGATTTTTTTTTTTAATCGACTATGTCCGTGCTACTGCTGGGACATTGTATCTCTCTCAGCCGGGGTTAGCCCGGATTCACAAGGTGGGAACAGCCCGCCTCCAAGTTATTTGAAACAAGTCGGTTTGGGTGGGTTACAATTACCGACTTCAGACCGAACTGACCATTAGGCGGATTTATGGGCAGTTTGTTTTTTTCTTCAGGGTCAACGTCTTCCTCGACAAACAACGAGAGTCGTATTCTGGAAGCTGGCCAGTACACCTACCCTTTTCAGTTCCACATCCCTCCTACGTCACCGTCCTCGTTCGAGGGTCAGTACGGGTTCGTCCGTTATTGGGTCAAGGTCGCAATTGAACGACCCTGGAAAGAGGATGTGTCTGTGAAGAAGCTTTTCAGTGTTGTGTGCCCCGTGGACCTGAACAGAGAGCCGTCTGCAGATGTGAGTTGACCTACGTCCCTGTTCTTCTTGTCGTTTTCCTTGTTGTTTGTGTGCTCTGCAGAGTTGTTACCCATTTTCTTTTCCACTTCTTCCTTTTTCTCGACCGTCTTCTCGTCGTTATCAGCCTGATCTTTACAGCAGCAGCAGCAGCAGTAGAAGTAGCAGTAGTCGCAGTAGTCGTAGTAGTAGTGGTAGTAGTAGTGGTAGTAGTAGTAGTAGTAGTCGTCGTCGTAGTAGTAGTAGTAGTCGTAGTAGTCGTAGTAGTCGTAGCAGTTGTAGTAGTAGTAGTAGCAGTAGCAGTAGTAATAGTAGTAGTAG